TTGGCTCCTAAATACCCTTGTCATCCACTTTTGGGTCCAAATTTGACCACTTTTTTAACGAATATTCATTTAAATTATTTAATTATTTTTTAAAATACGTAGCGCTCAACCATTGGGTATTTTAATTAATTAATAAGTATAATTTATAAACCCCCTCATTACTAATTAAACTCGTCCCAATTAATACACTCTCCCCAAATCATAATTGCCCACCTATTAAACAAAACTCTTCGCCCTTCGTTCCCAACACCTGTTAATTATTGATTTTCCTTGTTGTGGATTGATTGAGGTCAATGCTGCATAAAGAAATTGCCTTCTTATATCACATTGTAACATTTGAGTTATAGTAATGTTTCCATGTGTGCAAATGTCGAAAATGTAGCACTTTGAATTAGTACTGAATGGGAGTAGGAAATGACAATCAGCAATTTTTCTTGTTTTACAACATTACATGTTGATGGATTCTGCAGTTTTGTGACAAATGATCGATTCAGAATTTGAAATACAAGACAAGAGATTTGACTTAATTTTTGTTCTAACAACCTAATCAGCCTTACTTTGACGAGGGAAATGAACAGAAATATAAGTCAAATCTAATATAGCTAAAAATATACAGAGAAGAGACACATAATTGAGTAATTAAGCAATGATTCTATACAGGTGTTGGGAACGAAAGGTGAAAGGGTTATGTTTAATTGGTGGGTAATTATAATTTGGGGTGAGTGCATTAATTGGGACGAGTTTAATTAGTAATGAGGGGGTTTATAAATTATATTTATTAATTAATTAAAATAATCAATGGTTGAGCGCTACGCATTTTTTTAAAATTTTTTTTTTTTAAATGAATATTCGTTAAAAAAGTGGTCAAATTTGGACCCAAAGGTGGATGACCAGGGTATTTTGGAGCCAATAGGTGGATGACAAGGGTATTTTGGAGCCAATAGGTGGATGAGGGGTAGTTTTGTACCATTTCCAATACTTCGAGGGTATTTTAGGCCCTTTTCCGTTGTGTATATGGTGCATAAAATGTTATTTACATATACAGACGGCTTTGTCTTGTCAATTCAACTTATTTAAGCAGTATCACAATTGAGTTTAAACTCTTATATCTCTTCCCTGTTGCCCTTCTGTCTCCTAGTGTGTTGGGATAGTTTTTGTTTTGATGGTAGATCTATGTATGAGCCTCAAATCCCATTAAATCTAGATCTTTAATCTCAAGAAACCACATAAATTTTAAGTTGGATGGAAGAGTCGTATTGAAGATTGGTTATGCTTGCAAAATAAAGCACATTGGGGAAAAGCGTTATGAAGTTAACCTGCATTTTCTTTTATTCTAAGATGAAGTAACTTTGCTGAAAGGGGTCATTCGCTGGGCACTGAGTGAACGAAAAGAGGAACCCCTTCTGCTCCTTTGTCACCTTCAACTACTATTACTCCCTCTGTTCCAATCTATCCAACACTAAACTTTTGGGGAGTCGCACATCTTTCAATATAAGTAAATTTTTTATACCATACTGATTTTTATGTAGTTTCTAAATATTCAAAGTTGAGATGGGTTGATTTTTATACTCTGAACCCCCTCCCCAATAAATAAAGTAAAATAAAAAGAAATGTCCTTTCTTTTTGGAAAAGAGAGGGTGTTAGCTAGCAAGTTTTCCTGTTCTACTGTTAAAATGTCTTCACTTGTGTGTCTTAAGTTGGCCATGCAGAGAAACATAATAAGAGGAGCCCAACCATTGTTGACTACTTCAGTAGCAATGTATGGTTTTCTAAAAAAGAGTAAATTATTGTGGCAAGTAATTGATGTTAGAGGTCTGTACATGCTTCTCATCTTCAAAATGTGATGCTTTGGTAAGAATTTAGTCCTAGTATAAAAGACACATGATATGACCCCTAGGGCTCAGTTCAAGTGGAAAAGGTTGAGGGACTTGCGTCATAGATCTGAGCCCTGTGCAATGTGAACTACGCCTGTTTCTGAAGGCTGCGGTTGGTCCTAAAGGTTGACACCATACGGGTTTCTCTGTCATAAAAAAAAGTTGCATGATATGTATGAATATCAACTAAGCAATTTAACTGTCGGACTCCTTGACCAGTGAAGAATGCCTCTCTTTTAAATGTTCACCAAAGTGGTCAGGTCTTCTATGCTGACCTATTGTGCTATGTGTGTCAATTTACTTAAAATAACATTTAATTATCTTTTAGCTTTTCTGCAAAGCCTTTTTTAATTTTTCCTTAGCAATTCCATAGGCCCTTGTGTGATGCATATTATTTATATGAACTTGCCTAGTTCACCCGTGCTCAAGCATATGGTGCATTTTTTGTCCGACATAATTTTGAGTAGTTGATAATACTGTATAGCTGACCCCAAGTAGTATGAGATTGTGTACAAGCTGATTGACTGACAGTATAATCATGCATATGCCACTGTATCATCTTCACTTCAATCAGGAAGCAAATTGTGCTTGTTTTTAGTTTGATAGGAATTTGGATAGGGTAAAATTATTAATTGCCATTGTAGCATGGTTCAGAGTCTTCTGTAGCTAGTGATGTCAGGCTTCATCTGTAAGTTCTTCAACAATGTAGGTTACACAGGCTAACAAGGTAATACCCATGGGGGAGCAAAGTGAAATTGTGATCTTTCTTTTGGACCTTAAAACACATACTATATTTTTTCCATATTTTGGCGATAGACTGATAGAGTATGTTATGCACTCTTCTTTCTTTTGAGCAGGGAAAAGCTTGTTTCATCTGCAAAAAAGGAGGTCATCGTGCAAATGATTGCCCTGAAAGAAGCCATGGAGGATCCCAGAGTTCTAAAATATGTCTAAAGTGTGGGGATTTTGGCCATGAAATGTTTTCATGCAGGAACAACTATTCTGATGATGATTTAAAGGTGTGTTGCTGAGGAAATTTTCAACCTAGAGTTATATGTTGTGTTGTCCGAACTTATCTGTGTTCCATTTCTCCTGTTGCCTTTGATAGGAAATACTGTGTTACATCTGTAAGAGTTTTGGCCATCTTTGCTGTGCAAAATACCCTGATAGTGGTCCGAGAGAATTTTCCTGTTACAGATGCGGTCTACTAGGTCATACTGCTTTGGTAAGTGAATGCCCTTGTAGTCTAACTTGTGTATGTTGCTTCTGTTATTTAGGAACTAAATTTTGTGCTTGCATTTTTCTGACATGTTTTCCCATACAGGCATGCACAGCATCTCGTGGGGAGACTAGCGGTACTGGGTCACTTAATCCCTGCTATAGATGTGGTGAAGAAGGTCATTTTGCACGCGAATGTACTAATCCCAGCAGAGTAAGTTGTTTTATTCTTGTATGGCATGCTTCTCTTTTCATTTTGATTCCTGTGTCATCTTTCATTTTAAGTTAGTTGTGCTTTTACTACATAATATCTCATCTTCATAATGAAACCTTACTGTTTTTCTGTTTTGTGTCTATAGGTCAATAAGCGGAAACATGAATTATCAACCCCCAAGAAGAAAGTCCCCAAGAAAAGAAACGAGCAAAAAGAGTTCAGGTCTGTACCTCGTGATTTTGGTAGGGCATGGAAGAAGAAAGGAAAAATTGAAGGCGGATATACGTCAGGCTATAAGGTGAAACGAAGGGGAGGTTGGGTCCCTGATGATCCTGAAGACTATCCCCAATCTAATAATTGGAGATCTCCTTCGACTCCTAGAAATAAGAGAGCTAAGATTTCGAACTCCAGTTCTGGTGGTCATGCTTCTGTTTCCCGTTCATCCAGAAAGTCCAACAGGCTTGATTTTGATAATTCCTCTTCTTATGGGTCAGACAATTATCACCACCATAGGTTTTCAACATCTGGTAATTTTGATCATTCAACTTCTTATGGGTCAGGCAGATATCAGCATTACCATAGGTCGTCAGCATCGCGATTTGGCAACAGTAGCCACGACAGGTGGAGGAGAAATAATGATTGGTAATAGAAACTGTTACTCATGTGTAGTATATTTGGTTGAAAGCTTCTTGGAAAGGTCTGAGAACTCGTCATAATTCATGGAGACTGGTTGCACGAGCTCATTAGTTCATCAGGGACTTTTTGGGTTGTTTGTTCAAGTGAGTATGGAACTGAGGTCGATCTTATCAGATGTAGTTCTCTGTCATTTCTGTTTGTAACTTGTTATATGTCTTTTGTTCCCTGATGCGTCTTGTTACTCTTCTTTTTGTCTGAGGGGCATGTAAGTTTAAAAAGGACAAGTTGAACTGCCAACTGAAATGCAATTTCTAATTTACTATATCATTGTGTGAATTTTGCAAATGGCATAAAGAGTTGTATGAACAGTACATTTTGAATACAACTAACACTTTTTTAAATAATTAGTATCAAGAGATGGTCAGTCAGAAGCATAATTCGATGTTTACTTTGATTCATCACTTTGTAACCCTCCTATTTCCACCTTTCGTGTCGATAGATTTGCTCTATTATATTTGTGATAAAAAATCAAAACATGATCAGATGGCTAAAATAGATAGGTTCGACAATAATTATACTATAGAACTAGCCATGTCATATCAAAGTGTGAACATAGTTACCTCTCATTTTTGGTGTCTTGAAATGCATACATACTTATTTTTTGAACCACTATTTAAGCTATGTCCAAAAAACAAATTGAGTTTTGAAACATCTTTAGATATGCAATGTTCAAAGTTTTATATGAGTGAAGTTCAAACACATGACTAAAATTAGATTATTTTGGTCGAACTTTGAACATTTTCTTCTAAACTTTGGATATTGTTAGTCTCAAAATAGACATGTAAAAATAATAAGTAATTTAAAAAAAAACAACTTTCACATATAGCAAACATAAAAATCATATTTGTAAACTAAATAGCAGTGTCAAAATAGAATAAGCTATGTTGGTTGGTTTGATTATAAGCCCAACCTGTAAGTTGGCCCATTTTGAAAGTCCAACCTGCCTAGTATACATAAGCTTCTCTAAAGCCTTCACTCTGGTTTTTGCTAGGGTTTTTGCACTCGATAAGCTACCCTCGTTGAGTTCTGCGTCCTTGGTAATCCTCAGTCATGGCGGAGCAGGTCCGTCTATCTCTCTACCTCATCCTACCTATACATTATTATCTATTATAGAGAAATTCTAATGGATTTACTTTGTGCTGCAGACAGAGAAGGCGTTTTTGAAGCAGCCTGGTGTTTTTCTAAGGTGAGTATCATGACTGTTCTAGTCACTAAGTTGAAGGAATTTGAGCCTTAAATTTGCGTTTTTTTTTTTTTTTAATCTGATCTCGGCAGCTCTAAGAAGACCGGGAAGGGAAAGAGGCCAGGAAAGGGAGGAAATCGATACTTCAAGAGTATCGGTTTAGGATTCAAGACTCCTCGTGAGGCTACTGAAGGTACGTATTCATTTCGTTTAATTCTATTTCATTTGTTCTCGTAAAATTATATAATACTAGTTTTCGATTTCCACCTTTGATCTATGCAAATTAGCTTCTTTTCTTTCCATGCTGTCTTGATGTATTGAGTGCCAACTAGTTTAGGATTAAGGTCGATGTACGTTCACGCCTTAAGCAAATGGGCCTCCTTGCTGCAAATGGCCAAAAACTATTACGTTACTGCAACTTAGTTGGCATTTGGTAAATCTTCATAGTAATAAGTTAAAGTTTTTCGCCCTCTAGATACGCCCCTGGTCAAATAGAATAAAAACCTTCACGCCCTAGCATTTGTTTACAGTTATGGAGCTTACATAGGATATGATACTGTGAATTAAACCTTCGCATTACTGTCCTTTGGTGATAGGTATAGATCTCAATAGTATATGACCTTAGTATACTTAAAAGTACTGAATCAAAACAGTGTATTTTCGGATGAAAACAGCAGTGGATTGGATTTGAGCTTATTTATTCCTTTTTGTTTCCTATTTCAACCTGACTAAACTAAGATCAATAGCACACAGTAAATTTCTTATGTGGGCATTCCAAGATACTGCATTTACTTACATTTAAGTAATAGTAAATAAAAGATACTTCACAAATAGCTATTCGTGTATGTGGACATGTTGCTTGCTAGCTATAATATTTTCTAGGTGTTGGATAGTGAAGACTGACTTTAAGAACAAAGATTTCCTTAGCTATAAATATTTGATTATTTCATGAATTTCCTTGATTTCACCGTGTTCTGTAGTCTAACCTGGTGTTTGGCCTATTTAAATTTAGGTACATACATTGACAAGAAATGTCCATTCACTGGCAATGTTTCTATCCGAGGTCGTATCCTTGCTGGTACATGCCACAGTGCTAAGATGAATAGAACCATCATTGTTCGACGCAATTACCTACATTATGTCAAGAAGTATCAGAGGCAAGACTTGTCACTTGTACTATTTTTGGCTGCTTCACTTCTTCTTTTGTTAGTTTTAACACGCAAGTTATTTCAGATACGAGAAGAGGCACTCAAATATCCCAGCTCACATATCACCATGCTTCCGTGTGAAAGAGGGAGATCATGTTACTATTGGACAGTGCAGGTTAGGACTATCTTATTTTGATTTTTCTGTAGTATTTTTTTCATTATTTGTTGTTATTGTAGGTGATAACATTTTCTGCTTTACAGGCCTTTATCCAAAACCGTGAGGTTCAATGTTTTAAAGGTGATTCCAGCTGGTTCTGGTGGTGGAGGGAAAAAAGCTTTTACCGGGATGTAATCTTCATTCCTCCATTTCAAAATTTGTTTTTTTTGTAGGAATATGATGTCAAAACTTTTCTGCTTCTACTGAGTTATCTTCAAATTTTGAAACTTAATATGCCAGCAAGTTTGTTCTCTTAAAATAGCAGCGGTATTCTAGTCTTACTAGATAAAATCAAGATTTTAACTTCGGTTATCCTGAGTACCACTGAAACAAGAAGCTATCAAGCATTTGAATACGAACACGACATACCAAGTCGAGGAATGCGATGTATCGTTTTTGGAAATGATATCTCTACCTCTAATGTTAGGGTTAAGTATTTGTGGACACTCCATTCTTTGTAGCTTATGGAATTACATTTTGGGACGTTATTGTTATGGATGGTAATTGCCAAAGCAAGAGAGAGACGAGGCTTAGCCAAGGCTGCAATCAGAAGAGACATTTCTTCGTCCACATAGTTAATTTATGGAATCAAATATTACATTGTGTATCAACACCACAATGATTCATCTCTATTCTTTCAGTAAGAAAACATATAGAAGCTATAATTCTGTTTTTTTTTTGTATGCAAATAACAAATCATGCTAACTAATTAATCTACAAATTGAACCTATATTGAGAGACTGTTATAGAGATGTTTGACTACAATTATGTTGTGCATAAAAAAAAAATCTATAAACTTTTGATTAGGGGGTACAAAGTCGAACCAAATCACAAATTGAAAAAAAAAAATTTGATTAGTGATTTGGTTTGACTTGCTTTGGTATTGGGAAAAAAAAACAACTATGCTTAAGTTTGATTTTATTTTAACTAAAAAAAAGACAATTTAAGACTAAACCAACTCGACATTGTTTATATAATGCAAATTGAAATGTAATTTCTAATTTATTTTTGAGGTAATTCTGTCTGCAAAAGGTAGGACGCTAACAATTTATAACTTACTACATCATTGTGTGAATTTTGCAAATGGCATGAAGAGTTGTATAAACAGTACATTTTGAATACAACTAACAACAATTTTTTAAATAACCAGCATCAAGAAATGGTCAGTCAGAAGCATAATTCGATGCTTATTTTGAATTGTCACTCTGTAACTCTCCTATTTCCAGCATCCATCTCGATAGATTTGATCTATTATTTGTGATAAAATCAAAACATGATTAAATGGCTAAAATAGAAAGGTTCGACCATAATAATTATACTATAGAACTAGCCATGTCATACCAAAGTGTGAACATAATCACCTCTCAATTTTAGTGTCTTGAAATGCACACATAGCTATTTTTTGAACCACTATTTAAGCTATGTCATTGAGTTTTGGAACATCTATGTTTAAAGTTTAATACTAGTGAAGTTCAAATACATATGACTAAAGTTAAATTATTTTATTTAAACTTTGGACATTTTTATCTGAACTTGAGTCACGTTTAACTTTAGATATATTTGGTTGGATTTTAAGCCCATCCGTAAGTTGGCCCAATTTGCAAGTCCAATGCTCAGTATCTAACCCAATAGAAGACATAAGCTTCTCTAAGTCGTCATTCTCTGCTGCAGCCTGAAACTAGGGTTTTTGTTACCGATAAGCTATCCTCGTTGAGTTCTGCGTCTTGGTAATCCTCAGTCATGGCGGAGCAGGTCCGTCTATCTATCTCTATCTCTATCTCATCTTCCCTGTACATTATTATCTATTATAGAGAAAATCTAATGAATTTACTTTGTGCTGCAGACAGAGAAGGCGTTTTTGAAGCAGCCAGGTGTTTTTCTAAGGTGAGCATCTGACAAAGGCTATTTGCATTTACTGTTAAGTTGAAGGAATTTGAGCCTAAGATTTGCGTTTTTTTTTTTTTTTTGATCTCGGCAGCTCTAAGAAGACGGGGAAGGGAAAGAGGCCAGGAAAGGGAGGCAATCGATACTTTAAGAGTATTGGTTTAGGATTCAAGACTCCTCGTGAGGCTACTGAAGGTTCGTATTCATTTCCTCTAATTAAACAATTTCACTATTTCATTTCTTTCTGCATTGTTGATTTATATTTTAGATATTAGCATAGTGAATATAGTTTTGTTGTATATGTTATTATGATCTGAGTGAAGCCGAACATAAAGTTTATAAGACTAGTTTTCAATTTCCACTTTTGATCTATGCAAAATAGCTTCTTTTCTTTCTATATTGTGTATTGAGTGCCAACTAGTTTAGGATTAAGGCCGATGTACATGTCGTTCACGCCTTAAGCAGTGGGCCTTCTTGCTGTAAATGGCCAAAAACTTACTTGGATTACATTTCTGCAACTTAGTTGGCATTTGGTAAATCTTCATAGTAAGAAGTTAAAGTTTTTTTCAATGTGGTTGACACTAGGTAAATCTTTCTATTAAGTTACAGTTTTTCCATTGTAGTTTCAATTTGGTAGATGTTTCTTTCTATAATGAAGTTATTTGCTATGCGTCTGAATTGCATGAAATATGGTTTAATGCAATTTGAGTACATTAGGGGAAACACGATATACTTGTTGTAGAACTTCTTATTAGCTGGGGACTCGGGTTATTAAGATGACGTGGGGTGAAAGTTATCCATCTGTGTTAAGGTACTGTCTTGCTTTGACCAGTTATGTGGCATTCTCTTGATTTTCTTTTAAATCTTCTACAGAATTTTTTATTAAGCCAAAGCATTTATGATTGAAGTACTTCTGTTCTTCTCCATAGCTTCTTCTCTTGAAGCACTTTGTTCTGGCTTTGTTTCACATAAACCAGATACTAGTTCTCCAAATATTAAACCTTTGACAGAACTAGGCTTCTGTGATTATGAGCCAAGTTGAAACTTTTTTACTTGAAGAACTGTAGCCGTCCCAATTTGTCAAACAGAAATAAAAGCTTCACGTCACTAGCATTTGTTTACATTTGTAGAGCTTACATGGATATGATACTGTGGATAAAACCCTTCAATTACTGTCATTTGGTGAAGCTGGGTCTCAATATTATATGGTTGTGAAGTGGATGACCTTAATATATCGAAAAGTACTGAATGAAAATGGTATAATTTCGGAGGAAAACAGCAGTGGATTGGATTTGAGCTTATTTATTCCTTTTTGTTTCCTACTTCAATAGCACGCGGTAAATTTCTTGTGTGGGCATTCCAAGAGACTGCATTTACTTACATTTAAGTAATAGTAAATAAAAGATACTTCTTAAATTGCTATTTGTGTGACCTTTATGTGGAACATGTTGCTTGTTAGCAATGATGTTTTCTAGACGTTAGATAGTTAAGACTGACTTTAAGAACAAGATTTCAAGTCATCTTTTATATCTCCTGCGCCAGACATCATTTGATTATTTTATGGATTTCCTTGATTTCACCTTGTTCTGTGGTCTAACTGACTTTAAGAACAAGATTTCAAGTCATCTTTTATATCTCCTGCGCCAGACATCATTTGATTATTTTATGGATTTCCTTGATTTCACCTTGTTCTGTGGTCTAACCTTGCGTTTGGCCTATTTAAATTTAGGTACATATATTGACAAGAAATGCCCATTCACTGGAAATGTCTCTATCCGAGGTCGTATCCTTGCTGGTACATGCCACAGTGCTAAGATGAACAGAACCATCATTGTTCGACGCAATTACCTACATTATGTCAAGAAGTATCAGAGGCAAGACTTGTCACTTGTACTATTTTTGGCTGCTTCACTTCTTCTTTTGTTAGTTTTAACACGCAAGTTATTTCAGATACGAGAAGAGGCACTCAAATATCCCAGCTCACATATCACCATGCTTCCGTGTGAAAGAGGGAGATCATGTTACTATTGGACAGTGCAGGTTAGGACCATCTTATTTTGATTTTTCTGTAGTTTTTTTTTCAATTTTTGTTATTGTAGGTGATAACATTTTCTGCTTTACAGGCCTTTATCCAAAACCGTGAGGTTCAATGTCTTAAAGGTGATTCCAGCTGGTTCTGGTGGTGGCGGGAAAAAAGCTTTTACCGGAATGTGAGCTTGATGCTTCCATTTTAATTGTTACTTCTAGGAATGATGTCCATACTTCTATCCCTTTACGGGAATGTTGTCTTCGTTGATTTTCCTTTGAGCCTCAAGTTTTGAAACTTAATGCTAGCAGCAAGTTTTTTTTTCCTATGGATCTGTTGGTTCTTTGCCACAATCAAAAACTTCAATACCATTCTCAATGTTCTATAAATGAGTGCAAAATTTACCATGTTTGTGATACTTGTTTGAAGGTCGGTCGAAGTAGTTAATCGTATTTCTCCACTAATGATGGTTTGCGTTTGCTCGAGTGTTTTGTGTATATTTTTCGTTGTGTAACTATGCTTCAAATAGTTGGTCAATTATATGACTGACAATGTTTTCCATTTAAATAAATCACAAGCTTTTATGTAATAAAATAAAATAGAGCAATATAAATCAATCGTATTGTAGACAGAGTATATAGGGAACAAAAGAGTTTTCACCTTTTTTCCAAGTATACATTAAGTAGGCGTCTGATTCCATCTCATGAGAGGTGATACCATATTTTCCAAAAATCATGATATGGAATTATATGGTGATTCCATATAATGATTTGAGATATTTTAATACAATAATTGATCAATGAGTTTATATTTTGTTAAAACAATCTCACATTTATATCTACTAATCATTTGTTTCATATGTAAATAAAATTTATAATCACATCATTACATTTTAAAATTTATTATTTTCACCGACATAAAATTTATTATTCTCACCAACATATAGTCACTTTAACTCACACCTCACGATTGTGAAACTTTTCGACATTCACTTGAAACAATTAACCGGCATGTTAAAATAGTTGCCGAGACAATTAGCAAGATGGCACCAACATTTATACAGCCAAAAAATATGACTGGTGTACATTCCAAAATTCGACATAATACTCGATTTTGGCCTTGGTTTAAGGTAAAATTTCGATCACATTAATAAATTTATTTTATGGCCTTAATAAGTGAACATTTATATTTTATGTGTAAGTTATTAGTATTTAGTTACATATTTCCTATCAACTTTGTTTAAAGAGATAATATTTATTTTATGACTTTGCATTGTCTTGGAAGCACTATTTTTATTATTCTTACAAACATTATTTTTATGAAGTGCATTCTATAATGCTTCCAATTTATTTTATGTTCACTAAACTAATATTGATGTATTTTTTATTTGGTAGGATTGTGTTGGTGCGGTTGATGGAACATATATAGAAGGGGAGATTCCTAAAGCGGTGCAACAAGCATATCATAATCGCAAAGGAAGAACAACACAAAATGGCTTATGTGCTTGTGATTTTGATATGTGGTTTACCTTTGTTCCTGCTGGTTGGGAAGGTATTGCACATGATAGTAAAGTACTTGAGAATGCACTTGTTGAACCAACGTCACAATTTCCATTTCCGCCACATGGTAACTTTAAATTACATCCTTAGAATAAATATTATTTATTTACACAAAGTTGTCTCATTTACGTCACATATGCTTTTAGTAATTCTTTATAAAATGTTTTTTGGTAGATAAATATTATGTTGTTGATGCTGGTATCCGAAACACAAAAGGATTTTTAGCTCCATACAAAGGATTACGTTATCATTTGCAAGATTACCGAGGAAGTGAAAGAGAGCCTCAAAATGCCAAAGGACTATTTAATTATAGGCATTCATCTCTGCGCAATGTGATTGAACGAACTTTTGGAGCTTGGAAAAATAGATTTAGAATACTGAAACAAGGCATGAACCATTATGATATTGATACACAAGTGAAAATTGTCATAGCTTGTGCAGTGTTACATAATTATTTGCGAGAATACCAAAGTAGTGATGAAATATTTATGGTCTATGAACATGAAGATATAGTTGCGGAGGATATTGACCAACAAATGGCTCAAAGTAACAATGTTGGTTCGTCTTTTCGGTCACATGATCGAGAAATACAGGTTCAACGTGAGAAAATTGTCCGTACTATGTGGGAGGATTATACTAAAGACTAGTACACTATAATTTATGTTCAATTTTTTTTATTAAATTAAAGTTAAATGAAACAATTACTTAAGTGGAGAACAAATAACTTTGTAATAATTTATTATGCGATTTATAATTTTTTGTTTATTTGATAAGATTGAATAAACAATTGGGGTTATTTTAATAGTTTTACAACTTATGAGATTTTTATGTTTATGAGAAAATATATAACACAAAAATTCCATATCACATGTCCAAACAAACCTTCAATTTCATCTCATGATTCCATATCATGATAATATATCATGATTCCATATCATGATACTATATCATGATTCCATATTATGATACCATATCGCATGGTCAAACAGGCCCTAAGCGTGTACAATTTGAATTTTTATGCTTCTATTTAGTGATAGAGGTATAAAAAAAATTATTAGTAATAAGATAACATTAATCATTTCAGATTAAGGTGGATGTTAGGGAGGTGTAAAAGGTTGCAAGTTTAATGGTGTGATCAAAAGTAGAGATTATGCTAGGAGTTACTTATATTTGTGTAGAGTAAAGTGAATACTTTTTTGTATTTTTAGTGCTATACAATTATGATGCTCTAGGTGTGTACACTATGAAAAAATATGTTTTTCTTTGGAAAATAGTTTTTTACTTGTTTGATATGTAAGTTAAAAAGTATTATAATTTTTTATATATATAATCTAGACAACCTCTACTTTCGCAAGGTAAGTAAGGCTGCATAAATAACGTCTCACCCTGTTTTGGGGCATGATAATCTAACATGCTCAAGTTCTCCGATTGCCAGAATAATGGACAGTCTGATTATCCCAAACCTAAAAGGGCATATGGCCTTATTGCCAATTTAGATAGTGATGTAAATACAATAAAACTTATCTAGATGGAAAAGAAAATAATTTTCTATTCACCAATAGGGCCTGTGGAAATTTCTGTTAATTCAATACAACTTACAAGTTCAATACTAATTTTACAACATGCATACCCAGATTTGGCAATGTCACTCTGTTCTAAGAATAAGAATTTACAAAATGCTACCTCCTTTCAGTCCTCCCCCGATTAGAGGGGAAAGTAGTGTGGGACGATGTATCTTCCTCCCTGAAAGGTCGAGTTGATGCATCTGCTATACTCGGTAACCTTGAAACACTGCCCTTCCCTTTTCTGGCATTTGGACCGATCTCCTCTATCATATACTTCCAACCATCTATAGGCCTCCTCCGACTAAATATATGGGTTTTAATAAAACTGGCAATCTGCATAATCAACATTTATGCAGCATTAGAAACAAGGGCAAACAATACATCACAATGTTTCACTATCCAATGTCAGAGCCTTATAAATCAGACTAATATTCTTTTACTGATTTGCTATTATCCATTAGCGAACATAATCGCAGAGGAATAGTTAGTACATGTTAAAATGAACACATTAAAGATACAATTTTTCTTCAGAAAACTGTCCAGTATAGCCAAAAGATTTATTCTTTTTACAACCGTAGTGCTAGCTTGCGAGCTCCTCGACAAATTCTAAGGGGCACCTGCTACCTCCCACCAATACATGTACCGGATAACTCTCTCCACCAAGGCTTGGATGGATGAGAAGAAATCACCTAAAATTTTCTCTACTGGGATTTTAACCGGAAACCTCATGGTTGTCAATCCACTTCATTGACCACCACCCTTTGGGTGATAAGCAGAAGATAATTCAAAATGAGGTCTATCAAACATAAGAGAAACATGTAGATATAATTCCTGTCTACGAATAACTCACAAGTCACCATTCAAGTACCATAAAATCTTGGAATTGTTCAACTGATAAGGATGTGATGGAACTGGGCTTTGAGGACGTCAAATTGGAGAATGAAGTATCTCTTCAAGCTTGTATTGTTCGAGAGTGAAGCAACAACAATAACATGCCCAGTGATATCCACAAGTGAGGTCTGGGGAGGGGTAGAATGTAGGCAGACCTTACCACTACCTCGTGGGAAAAGTGAAGATTCGTGAAAAAAGAAGGTGCCAAGCCATCATGCTACTGACCAAGGTATCCACCAACCACCAATTTTATTGATCAATAATATACTAGGATTACAAGGCAAGGTAAACATACTCAATGAACAATGTAAAGCTAGGATCAAAAGTAGAGCGTAGACTAGCTATCTGAAATGGCTAGATCCAAAGAGAATGATTACCACCAAAGATGTGGACCTCCAAGAAGATGAATAGGAAGGGAGTTCAGAGGGCTATATCTGGTCAAAAAGATTTGTTGAGGGCACTTGCCTTCACTTCTCTAGTAATGGAAGGAGGCTAGAACAAAAGTTTTGCCCCCTAAATGTACACTGGTCGGAGGAAATACCACATTGGTGACATCCATATAAGAGGGGAGTAGTAGTTAAAGGAAGACCGAGGAATGTGGTAGTGCAACTTATGGAAACCTATGCAGAGAGATCCATTGAGATGCGACAACGTAAAGGTATCCCAATGCCTTCGCAAGAAAAATCTTGAGTGACTAGAAAAGCCAATCTCAGAGGAATATTCAGTATTGGCTCTACAATGTAAGAGGAAGAGGCTTCAAAGATCAGACAGTTTTCATTTTGCGTACATCAAAGGCTGCTGGGAAATTATTAGGCAGAACATTCTGGTAGCCCACCGACATTTCATAAAATAGAAGATTTTAATAGAACAATAATTTATTCCTTGCCCCGTGAACTAATGGAAATCCTAGTAGAGGAGATGGTAAGCTTATTATCTTGCTTGGTTTTTATTCTTCTTTATCATTTCATAAACTGTTGTGAAAGACTGAAAGTGACTTGTCCAAAATCATAAATGACTGAAATTTCATCAGTCCTTCAGGTTCAGTGTCTTCATCAAAGACAAGTCCTGGATGCTCAACAGAAAAATACACTTCTAGTTCAACTCTTGTAATGTTTGGATGAGTTAGCTGTTTTTGTTAATAAGTAGCACAATCTTGCCTAACTTGGTCTGTATAGTTAAAAGGATTTTGATACCTTTCTTATCGAGGGAAACATATAAAAGGGAAAGAAAAAAAGAAATATCTAAGCAAACTAGTATGCTTGTGGGAAAAAGACATATTTCTAACCAAAGATTACTGATTCACCAGATCTAACAAGAAGTTCGTCCAGAAACCAAGCTTAACAACAACAACAAAAGCATACCCAGTGGAATCCCACAAGTGGGGTCTGGGGAGGGTAGAGTGTATGCAGACCTAACCACTACCTGGTAGAGAGGTTGTTTCCGAAAACCCCCCGGTTCGAGTGCAGTAAATCCAAGTACAAAGAAGAAGAAAATTGTCCGAAAACCAAGCTTGAATTTATAAAATCGGATTTTCTCCACAAACCTGGAATTTGTTGAATGCAATTCGGCGTTCAAATTCTTGGACTAAGATATCTTCTTCTCTTTGCGACATCTCCCATATATTCCCATCTTGTGTTTTTGAAGTGGTTTCCCAGCCATCAGGTTTGTTTTTGAACTCAGAAGTCGTGTTTGAATTGCTTGAATCATCATTAGGTGAATCAAAAATCCTGAATATACAGTGTAGTGATATTAACAAGATATGGCAGGTGGTCATGGTATAAATCTTAGCCTCACAGTATTTTATCATTAAACCGTCAGGTTTGGTTTTGAACTCAGAAGTCGTGTTTGAATTGCTTGAATCATCATTAGGTGAATCAAAAATCCAGAATATACAGAGTGTAGTGAAATTAACAAGATATGGCAGGTGGTCATGGTATAAATCTTAGCCTCACAAGTTATTTATCATCAAACTACTCAAGAATCAGTATTTTTCGATGAATTAGTAAAATCCTGTACCATCTTGCTTGATCATATCTTCAAATCATCATGATATTAGATCAAATAGTAGGTCTAACATTGACCAAGTATTAAAAAAAAAAATTAGCCAGGAATGAAAATAGAGAATAACATAAAATTGGCATACTTTAAAAACCATGTTACTCATCTAAACTATCAAAATAAGTCTATAACTGCAAGTCTAACACTTATGGTTTGCATTCATCATCAGTCTCTTTCAAGGCAAAGTTTTAGTATAGCTGTATAGTAGTAGAAAAACTTCTGTCTCGCCAAAATAAAGATGTATTTTCCCTTATAAGATGTGTCGAGATTCTTATATAGGAAAAAGGTCCAGTAAAGCCCTTAACATTAGGTTTAACCAAATGGCTCGTACAGTATATCTTTGCTAAAGGTTTCAAAAATGTCTCCACATAATAGACTTCAATTTATCCGAGTCACTAACTTCAAATTCTAGATCCACCTCTAAAAGAACTATTAAGACTCACAATCACATGCAAAATGTTAAAGATTTGATTACAAATCAATTCAGATCCCCATCAAATAAGCAGAGTCAACTATGTCAATCAATGATCAACTATGCATCAATACAAACTATTTACGGTCGGTTGTATGAATCAATACATCCATAAGCACAGTCAATAACCATAAAACTACACATCAATCCTACTTATCCCAAAAAAAAAAAAAAAAGATAAAAGACTGCCTCATTCCCAAACTATTTGGGTTCGACTATAAGTTTTCTATATCTATAAGCACAGATTTATGAATCAACAATCAACCACTCCACAAACCCTACCATAAATGCATTAAATTATATTGATTAATGATCAACTACACCACAACCTCAAATTACTCGTAAATCTTCTATATTATAGCACAGACAATTATATCAATTAACGAGCAACTCTACCTCAACCTCAAACTAGTTGGAGTTCACTACATGAGTCATATATATCCCATATGCACAATTAATTATATCAATCAATGATCTATTACGCCTCAATTCCAAACTAGTTGAGGTCTATGTATCCTCTATTTCCATAGTACACTATAAAATATATTCATGAATTTCAAACCTAAAACCAAAAAAAAAACATAAATTCAAATAAATAGCATTAAAAAGTGCAACTTTGATCATACTCTGAACAGCTATCCAGAAATTTTTCAATATCATCAGCATTGCCGTTACCACCAATAGAATCTCCTAGCTTAGTCTCTTCCATCTTCTCAATCTCCTTCAACCACAAACCAGCATGCACTCTCTGCTTCTTCAACCTATAATCCCTCTTTATATTCTCCAAACTATAAAGCGAACTTTCATTTTCGTTGATATTTATGCCCTCACCGCCATTTTTCTGCTGCTTCCCCTTTCTTAAGTGCCAATTCTCATTCATATCCTCCACAAAGGCTTTAGTTTCCGTATCAACTTCCGGAACCCTAGACTCAATTTGGATATTTTCGGTAGTGTTGCTGGTATCGTCGGAAAGTGCAAAATTTACGTCGGCTTCCCATGGAGCTCGATTCTTTCCAGAAAGATCGTCGGGAAGCCACGCAGCTTCCCATGCGTCGTTCCATTCATCGTTGCCACTTTTGGTCGACAACCGCCGGCGGACGGCCGCGGAGAAGGTGGAGTTTATGATAAAGGTTGATGAGAGTTTGCGGACCGGGTTCATTAGAAAATGGTTTAGATTCAAAAGAAGCTACGATTAAGTGGGCTTTGCACATTTTGGAGTAAAATTTGAATTTTTTTTTTGTATTTATACTGAAATATAATATTTTAAAATTAGAATTGCAATTTGACCATAAATAATTGAAGTTGTTTTTTATAGAAAAAAAGTGAAAATTCTGAAAATTTCAACTTCAAGGTCTAAAGTAATCTTCGGAGTTTAACTTTGAAAAAAGTGAAATAGTGAGGATTTTGAAATTCAAATTTGATTTACAACTTATTCGATTCTCCATCTTGTAATCTCTACTATATCATGAAAAAATCGTTCATTGTTTCTTCTTAAGCAACTAACACATTGATATACACTTGAACTCTTTCGATAGTGAGTTTAAAGCCCTAGCATTTCAATTGTTGATTCACCGATAAATATAATTCATGACACATGGAATTTAAACTTCGCATAATTACCTTTGAGGTCTTAAATTTATTTATTCTATCTTTTATAATATTAAAAAAGTGAATGTTAAAGATTAAAATGTCAAATGTTAATGTAGATGTAAGCAAAAAAAATGATTGAATGACTATTATATAAAGATTTGATGGTAGTTATACTATCAAATTAGCCTTGTCTTGAAATTTGTAGGTGTGAATGAAATTCCGTGGCAATATTAGCATTTAACATGTATAAATATCTAATTTTGTAATCACCATTTAAGTCATATTTATAGTTCACAGAAAATTATAAATATATCCATTTTGGAATAACTTCACATGTGCAATGTCTTATGCATATATATCTATTGTTAATACATAACTCCGTATATCTTAAGTTATTACTGTTTCGTTCCTATTTATATGTTGTTCTTACTAAAAATAGATGCTTTTTTATATTTGTCATTTCACAAAATCAATGCATAAATGATATTTTTCTTTCTATTTTACCCTTGAGAGTTATTAGCCTCGAAAGTATGAATTTGACTAATACAAGAAAATCAAGTAATTTATTTATGTTCATTGGTCAAATTAATTAATCAAAATAAATTAGTTATGTTCATTTATTGAAAACTTCACTTCAAGATAACACTAAATAAGGGTACAATGATAAACTTATTTAGTTTCTTAAGAGCGTGAAACTCAAAATTGATGACATATAAATAGAAACGAAAGGAGTTCGAAATAGTTACCTATACAAATTAGAAATAACAATGTCCAAAATAAGATACCTCTGATTTTTTTTACAATTTTAGTAGGTTAGATTTTAGGCCCATCTGTAAATTAGCCCATTTTGCAAATCCAGTCCACAGTATCTAACCCAACCTGTCTAGTAGTGAGTAGTGAAGTACATAAGTTTCTTTAAGCCCACGAATCCATCACTCTCCACTGCAAATTAGGGTTTTTGCTACCCAGCATCTCTCGCCGTTCATTTCATCTTCCTTTGCAACCCTCAATTATGGCGGAGCAGACGGAGAAGGCATTTTTGAAGCAGCCAGGTGTTTTTCTAAGGTGAGTGTACTGACTGATGCTACATGCTTTTTCTGTTCAAGTCCGTGAGTTGAGAGGGATTCGAGGTTAAAATTTGCGTTTTGTTGTTTATCTGATTTCGGCAGCTCTAAGAAGACTGGTAAGGGAAAGAGGCCAGGAAAGGGAGGCAATCGATACTTTAAGAGTATCGGCTTAGGATTCAAAACTCCTCGTGAGGCTACCGAAGGTTCGTATTCATTTGCTCTAATTATATGAAAGACATTGCTCAATTACTGTATTTAATTTGTTTCTGGCTGGCCTCTGCATTGTTGATTTATAATTTAGATATGAGCTTTCCCAAGTATAGTGAATAAAGTTGGGTTGTATATGTTATTATGGTCTGAATGGCGCAGAACTGAAATTCTACAAGGCTAGTTTTCGATTTCCACTTTCGATCTACGCAAAGTAGGTTATTTTCTTTCTATATTGTCTTGATGTATTGAGTCTCAACTAGTTTAGGATTAAGGTCGATGTACACGCCTTAAGCAATGGGCCTACTTGATGCAAATGGCAAAAAACTTATATTATGTTTCTGCAACTTAGTTGTCATTTGGTAAATCTTTCTATCAAGTTATAGTTTTTCCCCTGTAGTTGTCATTTGGTAAATATTTATATTATGAAGTTATTTGACATGATGACTTATTAGCTGGGGCTCAAAACATTAGGATTATGCAGGATGCAAGTCATCCATCTGTGTTTATGGTACTGTCTTGCTTTGACCAATCACGTCGCCTTTCTTTGATTTTCTTTTAAATCTTCTACAAAATTTCCGATAAAACCAAAGCATTTAGGATTGAAGCACTTCTGTTTTTCTCTCGTTAAGCTCATTATTGTGCCTTTGTTTCACATAAAATGGATACTGGATCTCCAAATATTAAATTTTGACTGAAGTAGGCTTCTGGAAATACGGACGAAGTTGAAACTTGTTCATCTCTGTTGCTCCAGATATCATTTGATTATTTCATGAATTTCCTTGATTTCACCGTGTCCTGAGGTCTAACCTCATGTTTGGCCTATTTAAATTTAGGTACATATATTGACAAGAAATGCCCATTCACTGGCAATGTTTCTATCCGAGGACGTATCCTTGCTGGTACGTGCCACAGTGCTAAGATGAATAGAACCATCATTGTTCGACGCAATTACCTACATTATGTCAAGAAGTATCAGAGGCAAGAGCTTGTCACTTATACTATGTTGCTCGCATTTTATTTATTCTTTTGTTAGTTTTAACATGAGTTATTTCAGATACGAGAAGAGACACTCCAATATTCCAGCTCACATATCACCATGCTTCCGTGTGAAAGAGGGAGATCATGTTACTATTGGACAGTGCAGGTTAGGACCACCTTATTTTGATTTCTCTATAGTTAATTTTCAACATTTGCTGTTATTGTACATGATAACATTTTCTGCTTGACAGGCCTTTATCCAAAACTGTGAGGTTCAATGTATTGAAGGTGATTCCAGCTGGTTCTGGTGGTGGTGGGAAAAAAGCTTTTACCGGAATGTGAACTTGAGTGTTTCTTTTTTAATGTTTACATCTAGGAATGATGTCAAGGCATTTCTGCTTTTGCTGAATTCTCGTCTTCATTGATATTCCTTTGAGATTCAAATTTTGAAACTTAATGCTAGTAGTAACAAGCTTTTCCTTCCTATTGAGCCACTATGTGTACTGTTCATCGTATGAGAGGTTTGATTTGGTGATTGAATCATTTTAAAAAAAACAGGATTTATGGTTATTTTAGTCTACTGGTACATTGCCATTTGCCACAATTAAATACTATACTACTATAGTATCAATAGATTTTCTATGTTCTAAAAATGAGAGACCATAAGCTACTATACTTGTGCAACTGTTAATAAGGTGGGTACTAGTAGTAAGTTGTGTGAGTTTATATATGCAGAACCACTCTTCTTATAATGTCACCATTCTTTTTCCATCTTTGAGTAAGGTGACGTTAAACTTTTCACTTCATTCATCTAGTTCCGTCTTTATACCAAGTAAAAATTTATTGCAAGTTCTCTTTATATTTTGTGACGTATGTATATGATCTATAATAAGCTAAAAGACTTGGCAGGTGTGAATTTGCTTATACTAAATGGTCATAAACACGATAATAGGGTGACAACTAACTATTCTACACTATAATTCACAAAAAGGAAAATGTTTTCTTGGAAAATAAATGGATTTCTAATTTATTTTCTCATGTTTGGTTGGTGAGTAGAAAATATTTTTTTAGTGTTTGGTTGGTGAATGAAAAAAAAAATTCAGAAAAAATCTTTTATTTTGGCTTGAGACTAAAAAATACTCTTTAGGAAAATAATTTATGATCCGAAAATCAACCCAGATAATTGATCTAGGACTCAATCTCGACACCCAAACTAGGACAAGACCCCGATAACCATTCCAAAATTCAACCCTGAGATTTGATCGAGGAATTTTTTTTTCAAAAAAAAATATTGATGGAGTCACGGGGAGGGCTTGGGGGTAGGGTGGCATAAAAATGATTTTTTTTAAAAAAATTGAAATATGTTTCAAAAACAACTTTTTTAAAAAATAAAATTTTGATACGGTGGCATGCCGGGGGTATGGGTGGAGTTGGTGTAAAAAATAATTGTTTTAAAAAATTTGAAATATCTCCCAAAAATAGTTTTTTCTTTAAAAAAAATAAAAATTGATAGGAATGGCCTGGGTGGGGATGGCCGGGGGGAGGAGAAATATTTCTCAAAAACAATTTTTTCTTAAAACAATTTTTTGACCATAATGGCCTGGGGGAGGGGGATGGCGTAAAAAATCAAATAAATAAAATATTTGAAATATTTCCTAAAATTATTTTTTTTTTTTAAAAAATTGACGGGTGTGGTGGGGGAGTGGTGTAAAAAACTAAATTTGAAATATTTTTCAAAAACAAATTTTTTTAGCGGGTTGGGTGAGGTAAGAAAAAAATCTTAAAATTTGAAACATTTTTTAAAATAATTTTTTATTTTTTGGTTTGTGGGGGGGGGGGGGGTTGGGGTGATTTGGTGTAGGGATAAAAATATATTTGAAACTTAAAAAATAGGAAAATTAAATATTATTTTTTTGAATGGTGAGAGTCAGGGTATGGGTAGGGTAAGAAAAAAAAATTAAAAGATGAAGTAGAGTTTTGAAAAATGTTTTTCCTCAATTTTGGATAGAAAATCATTTTCCTTAAATTTGAGGAAAATGAGTTGATTTGAAAAATATTTTCCTTCATACCAAACACACCCTAAATGATAAAAATTAATTCGCATGAATAGGCTGGAGAAAATGGCCAAATGACCTCTCAATCTATTATTGGATTACCAACTACACATCTATTTTTCACGGGAGTCCTACTACCCTTGAACTACTTTAAAATGAAATAAATAACCCCGAAGTGTTGAGTTGGCATAAAGAGTGTATTTCACTCTCTTTGAGAGAGTGAGTTGCTTTTTTTTTTTTATTTCCCATTTTTTTCTATTTTTCTTTTTTCTTTCTTCTTATTTATCTATATAACTATACCTTTTTCACCATTATCATTGTTGAAGCTTTTTCAATGGATGTTTGGTATAAAAATTATCAACAACTAATGCATTTTATGAATAAATATATTTTTAATAGACTTATTTAGAACATATCTAACAAATTATTATTTTTTTTTTAAAAAACATACCAATTTTTTTTTAAAGTCATGGACTCAAGAGTAACAAAATCAAAGTGAAGTTATTGTTTGTTTAAAAAATATTTTCAAACTTATTAAAAGGAACTAAAACAAAACAATTTATTCTACATTTTTAAAGAAGGATTTTACATGTTCTCCTAAAACCCATGAAGAATCAAAATCAAAAACTCAAATTATAAATTAATCATGAAAACTTTAGAAGGAGAAAGAATAAAGAATGGGGAAGAGAAAGAGGTTTCTCAAATTGGTGTCACAAATTGGTCTCAAAATGGTCTTCTCATCTGCGATGATTTTGAGCTGTCGACTGAATCTGATCTCGAATGCTCATGACCCATTTAATGTGTATATGAAATTGTCTAAGGAAGAAAATCGAACGAAATGTAAAAAAATTTGAAAAAACTGTTGAATTGGTTGAATGAAAGATTTGATTAGGACCGCTATCTTCTAGGCTCTAGAGATTCGGAGTAGTTGAAAAGGCGACTTGAATTTTCGTTTTTATGAATTGTTAGAGATATAAAAATTTATTGAGGTAAAAAATGGTGTTTATTATAGTTAGGATTTAAGAAATGATTGGGGAAGAAAGGAAGAGGAAGGAGGTGAACTTTTTTTAAAAAAAAAATTATTAAATGGTGAAATACATGTGTCAACTGCGTGTATTTCACCACAAGGCACATGTATGGTAATGACATTTCAGGGAGGAAATAATTCCACTTTAAAATAGCTTAGGGGGGTAATAGGATACCCATAAAGTATAAGTGCGTAGTTGAAAATCCGATAATAGATTGGGGGTCATTGGGTCATTTTCTCAATAGGTTGACAACTAACTATTCTACCCTGTAATTCACAATGAATTTTTGATTTAGTTTAAATGATAAAAAATAATTCGCATAAAGTGTGTCTAAAAAGAGCAGTGTGGGATAAAATAATATATATATATATATATATATATAGTTTGGAATCAATTTTGATTTATTGATCTACGTTACTTTCAAACTACATCTAGACTATCGTTCAACCACATCTAGACTATCATTCAAACACATTTTTTTTATCTTCTCTAGGTCAATTGATTTTATTATTTTTATAGTTATTAACAATTTACTTTTAACTTTAAATTTTTTTATATAAAAAAAAAAGTTACACGTAAGAAATATAAAAATAAGATATAAGAGATCTGCAAAAATATATACTAATCATTCTCTTCTATCCCTCAAATTGTAAGTGGTGATAGCAATTTTTTTTCTTCTTTTCAATACCTGTATAGACAACATAGATTAAGTTAATGTAATAATAAATTTATATTTGAGTAAAATTATAACAAGAAGCCGTCTTAGCTCAGTGGTAGAGCGCGTGGCTTTTAACCACGTGGTCGTGGGTTCGATCCCCACAGACGGCGCATTATGGTGTTTTTCTTTTTTTAAAAAATAAAATGAAAATGTTGACCCAGGTTACCCTAGATGTAACACGGCGTACTCGACCCCGAAAGAGTCTCATACAAGCCCTTAGCATAATCATAAACATAAGTAATAGAAATGATGCGGAATTTTAAAACTTTTTATAATAGAAGTCTTTTTCATAAAAGAAATATAAGAGTCTAGACCTTGTCTCAATCACCATCTAATACAATCGAATAGGGGTGTTCATGGTTTGGATAAAAATCTATCCAAATCGAAAAACCAAACTGATTTAATTTGGGTTTTGGTTTGGTTTGGTTTTAGATTGTTAAGAACCGATACTATTTGGTTTGGCTATGGTTTTGTTCGAAAAAAAATCGAAGAAATAACCGAACCGAACCAACAAGTTATATACATAAAATTTATTATTATACATACATAATCTATTATATTCATAAACAATTTTAAAGATTTTATATACGTTTCATCAAAATTTATTTATAATTTACTTATGAAAGAAAAAATGTCCAACGTGAGAACAATTTTCTTATTGGTTTCATGTATATGAGTGTCTATGGAAATTCATTGTGGGAGTGAAAATGTCATTGTCTCTTCCTTCTATGCCAAAATAGTGAGTTTTGAAATTTATTCAGTAGATTCAATGATCCAAAGTTTTGTAATGCCATTCATTCTAACTGTTTTTTCGTTTGAATGGATTGTTGTCACTTTTTTCACGTTTTGAATGAATTGTTTCTTTTATTTTTATGTATGGTTAATAACCGAATAACCAAACCAAACCAAACCAAAACCGAAAATAGCCAAACCGATAAATATATATTATATTTGATTTGGTTTGATTTTGATAATTTTAAAACCGATTAAGTTAGTTTGGTTTTGGTTTTGACCAATAACCGACCCAAACCAACCCGTGAACACCCCTACAATCGAATACAATCTTAGGGACACCACCCTTTACAACATAGTCTTGGAAATAGAAAATACAAAAGGAACTTAGAAACGAATAAGTCTTGTCCTCGAACCATGAGGACTCACCAAACTTGGAGAATAGTCAATCCAACCTTTACTTGAAAGGAGAAGTATACCTCAACAACCAGAACCTACACTTATCATAAAATGTAGAAAATATGGGTTAGCACAAAAATGTACTAAATATGGTAGCTATGCACAAAAATCTTTAAGACTTGCTCAAAAGGGACATTTAGTTAAAATCATGCATTTATCAAGTTTAAAAGCCATCATGCACATTTGTAAAGAAACATAAGTCAAACCATATCATAAGCAGCCCAAAGCTATAGTTGTGCAATGCATAGGTAAGATCCCATAATCCTACCTAACACTAAGTACCACTTTTAGGTCACCAACATCATACATATCTTACTTTGACCTCATTCTTAGCCAATACTCATAGACAATGAAATATTCATGTTCATAACTTACATCAAGCTAAGTAAAGTCACTCTTAACAACAATACATATCATACATGCAAAATTCATAAGTCTTTATAGCATAAGAGAACTTCACCACAACCACTCTTAAAGCCTACTTGTGCAATGCATAAAT